TCTCGATGTATCTGATCCCTACAAACAAAGAAGCTGCACCTAAATCTTTCATTTCAAAATGCTTTTGGAAAGAAAAACTTTGGTTTCTTGTAGCAAGACTTTACAATTAATAGCAAGAAGTATGTCCATCAAATATAAAGACCCAAAGATTAAAACCTACTCCACTGAACTTATGGTACACACAATTTTCAACAGTATTTTTTGCCTCAAAGCCAAACGAGACAATTACTTAGTTGAACTTAAAGTACCATTGACGAGAAGCTCGCTTGAGTCCATAAATGGATTTCTTTAATTTGCATACCAGATGTTTTGGATCTCCAATTACAAAATTTTCTGGTTGCACCATATATATTGTTTCATCAATGTTGCCATTGAGAAACGTAGTCTTAACATCTATTTGATGAAGCTCAAGATCAAGATTTGCAACTAAGTCCATGATTGTCCTAAAAGAATCCTTCGAAGAAACTGGAGAGAAGGTTTCTTTATAGTCAGTCCCTTCCTTTTGAGTAAAGCCTTTTGCTACAAGACGTGCGTTATATCTTTCCACATTACCTTGAGAATCCCTTTTGGTTTTAAATATCCATTTGCAACCAATGGGTTTCTTTCCTTCAGGTAATTGAACAAGATCCCAATGAACAAGATCCCAAACTTGATTGTTAGACTTATACTCTTCGTTCATTGCCTCAATCCACTTATGAGAGTTAGAACTCTGCATGGCATGATAGAAACTAACTGGATCATCATCTATCATGTTCTACAGTATCCTCATGTTCCTGAAGAAACACTATATAATCATCTGGAATAGCACTTCTTCTTTCCCTAGTAGATCTCCTCAGAGGCATTTGAACAGGCTCTAATTCTTGAGGTTGTTGAATTTGTTCTTGAGGAAGAATAGCATTGTCTTGAATTGGATCTTGAACAGAAGCAACTGGAGTCTGTACGCTATCAGAAACAACAAAAGGAATGAGAATCGAATCATCCTTACTTGATTCCTCTTCAAAGACAATGTTTCTTTCTTTTCTTTATTTCTCCCTCCAAAATCAACATCCTCAAAAAATGTTGCAATTCTCGTTTCAAAAAAAAGTTCTGGAAGTAGGATTATAAATTGTAACCCCTAGGACCGTCAGAATATCCAACAAAGTAGCTGCTGATAGTTTGGAGTCCAGTATTTGTTTCTTCGGCTTGTAGGCCTATGCTTCGCTGGCCCCCCTACATCCCCAAACTTGGAAATGCTTTAGACTAGGGCTTACCGTCCAGTCCAAAGTTCATAAGGTGTTTTAGCAACTGGCTTATAGATGGATCCTAGTTGAGAAGATAAGCTGCTGTCTTTAACGCTTTCACCCCACAGAGACTCTAGGTAAAGTAGAATGACTAATTCATACTCCTTACCATATCCATAAGAGTCCTCATAAGAGTCCTATTACGTCTCTCAGATACACCATTCATGCTGGGAGTACCAGGCATTGTATATTGAGGGACAATTCCACATTCCTGTAGGAAAAGCGAAAAGGTCCTGGACGTTGTTCGCCTGAACCGTCATATTTACCATAATATTCACCACCACGGTCAGATCGAACAGATTTAATCTTCTCTCCCAGTTGATTTTCAACTTCAGCTTTATAAGATTTAAACACGTCCAAAGACTCAGATTTTTCATGAATGAGATATAAGTAACCATAAAGAGAATAGTCATCAATGAATGATATAAAATATCTTTGGCCATTTCTAGCTGCGCAATATGGAATGGACCACAAATATTTGTATGAATCAGTTCTAAAACATTGGATGACCGAATGGCACCTAGTCTCTTTTGTTTAGTCTGTTTTCCTTTAATACACTCAATACAATCCAAACCTGTGTAATCAAGTGTATCTAAGATACCATCAGAAACAAGACGCTCAATCCTTGATTTGGATACATGACCCAAACGTCTATGCCAAAGTACAACTGAGTTATCAATATTCAATTTTCTTTTGGTACTTTCTTTTGGTACCTCTTGTAGTAACATGTAGGGATTCATGATAACTAGTATCAATGTCTAACATATATAGATTATCACATTCATTCAAGCAACCAGTACTCAAAACTTTTGAATTCATAGATAAAGTGAATACACTGTCTCCAAAAGAACAATGAAAACCAGATTTGTCCAAACAGGAAACAGAAATCAAATTCCTTCTAAAAGAGGGAATAACAAAAGTATCTATAAGATCCAAAAAATAGCCAGTACTTCCTCTACTTCAACCGGATCGCCATTTCCCACATAGACGTATCTTTCACCGTCAGTTGGCTTTCTATAGTTGAGGCAGCCCTGCAATGAAACACTTATATGAGCGGTAGCACCAAAATCCATCCAATAAGTGTTTTTAGGATCCATCCAATAGTTGTTTTTTAGGAGCTGAAAGGTTAAATAACTTCACAACAGAACTAAAAACAAGGTTACTTTTACCCTTCTTTGCAACCACAAGGTACTTACCCCTCTTTGCAAGCCAATTAGCAAATTTAGGACAGTCCTTTCTCAAGTGATCCGTCTTTCCACAAAAGAAGCATTTTGGCACATAAGGCTTCTTTTGTACTGGATCTACAGCAGTAGCAACAGCAGGTTTCTCAATAGCCTTTTCAACAGTCTTTGCAGAAGGCCTCTTTCTTTTCTTGTTCTTGCCCTTCTCAGCTGAAGAAACAAAATGAGCACTCTCTCTTTTGTTAGAATTCATCTTTTCCTCCTCATCAACACAATGAGAAATGAGCTCGTTAAGAGTCCATTTTTAGGTCGGCTGACAAATTATAGGGAAGTCCTAATTTGTCCATACTGAGAAGGAGAGGATTCTAACCAAATGGGACTAAAAGTCATCTGGTAAAAGCCATACCAGCGCCTTTCAGTTCTTTTGCATCTGAGGAAAACATGTAAGGGGAATATGCTCCCGAAACACCACCATGCCAGCCAAACTTTCATGGAGGTAATTTCCTTAAAAAGTTGTTCCCACTTCGGCTTTGCATTCTTGACATAAGCCCTCTCCAGCTCGCCAAAGATTAGTTTTTGAGCATTTGTTCCTTTTCAGCTGAGACAGTCAGTCTCGAACATGTTCTGTAGACTCCTTTCTGCATGATCATTAGACCTAGCGATTAGGGAAACGCTCCCACTTCTCATTACTTGAACCCTTGAACATCATGCTCGTATCAGTAAGGGGAGCAGAGGAGCAGGTTCGTCCATCCTGAATGCAAGATCCAAATCCATACAGCCCAGAAAGATCATAATGTCTGATTTCCAAGACTCAAAATTTGATCCCTTAAGTTTAGGGACACAATCAGGATTAAATGACATGTTAGCTGACATCAGAGAAAATAAACAAATAGATAAGTATAAGCTCACAATTCACAAATGAAACAATTCACATAAGTAGAGATAAAAATGGAAATAAGATACAGACTCAACATTAATATTCTCATCTTTGGATGTAAAATATTCACTTGTAATTAGTATCTCAACGCAGCAATCAAATATTGATAACATAGTCCTGACAAATAATAAATCTTCCTTTGGACCGATATATCATTGTCATGGAAAATAATCAAACAATTATCACATACTTATTGCAATTATCACATATTTATTGGCAAACATGTATTTCAAACTCAGCCAGATAGGCACCTTTCCTTGGGCCGATTAACTATTCGCAACCGATTTCTAATACCCACCTGTTCTAAATTCTAAAAATTAAATCAATTTTCAAGCAATAGAGGTCACTTTTGGTGACTCATTGATGTGACTTATTGATCAAATCAATTTATTTTAACAAATATTAAACACAATAGGGACTTAATCACTCCAAAATTTAATCTCAAGTCGACAAATTAATTCATTTAATTGTAATTAAAGCAAAACAATTGCAATTAAAGGAATTGATTGTCTAAATATTTAATAATCTAAAATTATTTAGCCCTAAAAAATAAAAAAAAATTATAATCTAGTCTTTAAGTCACTAAATTAGAGACTAAGTTATAAAATTGGACTAAATAAATTTGAATAAATAAAGTTCGGGGTTCTAATATAATTAAATATATGTCCACGGGTCTAGACGAAAAAAAAATACGAAAACACAGAAGATTTAGGGGCCATAATCTGAAGGTTAAGTTACAAGGAATTTAGGACCTATCTGAAGTTACAGAAATTTTTAGGGGACCTAATCTTGAAGTTACAGAAAAATTAAGGGACCAATATGAATTTACAGGAAAATAAGGACTATATGGAAATTTTCCAGGGGATTCTAAACCTAATTTTCCATCCTAACCTTAAAAAACCAAAAACTTATCAGAGACGAAAAAAAAAAAAAAAAAAACACAGCCGCCGGACTCTCTCAAAGGAAACCAGAAAACAATAGGCCAAAACAAATTCTTTTGTTCAACCGAATTGGAGATTTCATTATTTACTCAAAAGCCAAAATTTCGATCAAATTCACAAAACCTATACTTGTTTTTTTTTTTTTTTTTTTATTAAACAAACCCTCGATCCGTAAAAAACAGTAGGGTAAACAAATTAAAAAAAAAAAAAAAAAAACATACGAAAATCAATTCTAAAATCTAGCAATTTATGCACAAGGCTCTGATACCACTTTGTAAGAATTTAATCTCAAAATAATTCAATTAATTAACCTAGATCGTGCAAAACCCACTTAGATCAACAAAAATGATTGATTGAATAAGAAAGGTTGCATTTACTGAACATTCGTTATTGTTGCGTCGATCTTGATGATAGGGAATTAGGTTTTTGCAGGCCTCCAGAGGAATGAAGAATAGATTTTAGCGGAAAAGGCAATACGAAAGGGAACGTAAAACTGAATCGTATTTTCAACTCCTCTGGGGGACCACGACCTTTATATACCTTGTTTCTAGGGTTAGTTCAATTTCCTATTTCGGTATTTCGGTCCTTTAACGAAATAGGAATTATATAATGGTCTCTACACTTAATATCTATAATTAGTTGATACCTCAATAGTCAATTATTTACAATCAAAACCACATTTGAAATTGACTTTACAATTGGACTGCTGTACATATTTTTTTTTACATATTAAGCCCACAATAGAAAATTAAATCCAACAATTTGATCTAATACTTTGTTCTCAATATATTTGAATCGGGCTGCCTCTGAAACCATTTGGATAAAAGAAACTAGAGGTTTAGCAATGTCTGCTGGTAGAGAACTTTTTTGAAGATCATATATGTAATTCTATTATTTATTATATAATTTTACTATTTTTAAATGATATTATAAAATATTATTTCATCTTTTAATATTTACTCTGGCATTATGCGATTTTTTAAGGAAAAAAAAGCAAATATATTTTCAAATAATTAATTCATTATAGGGGAAAAAAACTGAAATTTATTTTATTTATTAAATTAATATTAATAAGGAAAAACTATTTTATTTGGAAATAAAATAGGAATATGAGGAAAAAGAATTCCCATAATTTTCTCTTCAAATTAGAGGGAAAATAAAAAACTATAAAAATAAATTTGTAGAGAAAAATTGATTTTATTTTTTTTATATCGAAAAAAAGTAACAAAAGTTTTTCCGAAAATTTAGTCCTTTCTTTTTTTTATTATTCATTAATAAAAAAAGATAAAAAAATAAATTAAAAAAACACTTCATCACGCAATACAGGAACATACGCAATATGATAATTTTTAAAAAAGTAGGAGATCCACACGTTTAGGACACACTATACTAAATAAGTATAATACATTAATATTTCAAATAAATAAATAATAAATTATAAATTAAATAATAATATAATAAATTATAAACATTAAAATAAAAAATTACTTAATTTCTATTTCAATATTAATTAGTTAACTTCTTTCAAATTTTCATTGTTTGAAAAAATATATTAATAGTGTGTGTTGTCATTTTTTATGCAGGTTCATTACTAGGGAATTGTTCAAAATAGTCGCGACAAAGTGAAAACCATGATTCCCTAAAACATGAGAAATATGGGTTAGGGCTGTGAGGTAAAAAAGAGTCATGTCAATTGAAACGAGTTACCCATTTTGCAACCACGAATATAAACGTGTGGTGTTTACGGTTGACACGGCGGGTTTGGGCGAGTGACCTGTTTATTTAAGGAGTTAAATAGGAATAATATTTAGTGTTAGATATAAAAGTGACCTGTTTATTTAAGAGTAAATAGATAATTTTAGTGTTAGATATAAATACTCCAACTAAAACCTATTTAAATTTTATTGTTGCATTAATTTTTATTTTAATTATAAATCATGAAAAATTTATGGATTTTACATGTAAAAATTTATTTTTAAATATAATTGGAGTTAAATAGGTTAAAAGTTAAAAATAATATAATCAGGTTAAGTAGGTCGTATATAGGTCAACACATCCACTTAACCTATTTATGATATTAAGCGGGTTACAGAAGTTGTATATGAGTCAATACGATCCGCTTAACCTGTTTATGATATTAATCGTGTTAAATGTGTCATGTTCGTGTCAACCGTCTAATTTTCGTGTTGTGTTTGTGTCGAAGTTATAAAAAATTATTTCATCCTTGAATATTGTTTTGCGGATCACGCGAGTTCTAACACTAGTAATATATAAAAACAGGGTAGTTTGCCTTATCTGAAAGCCACGTGTGAGTAGCACAATTTGCCACTTGGCATTATTTTGGATTATAGACGGATGTTAAAATTCTAACACAATTTGTCACTTAACAATATTTTGGATTATAGAATGGTAGATGTTAGAATTCTAACACAATTTAGCACAATTGTAAGAATATTAGTTGTTTATATTTTCAGATAAACTCTTTATTAAGGTAATATCTACAAAAAAGATTGTCTCTAGCATTTAATATATTAATATAAATTTATTTCTTCTTACAAAACAATTAATAAGTAATCCAAATGTTTAAAAAGTGTGAATAAACAATATATTACGATGAATAAAAACAATATATTTACTATTAAATTAAACAATATATTTAAATATTTAAAAAATTTATAAAATTGGAACGTACGGAGGTTATGATTAATTTTTTAAAAAATAGGGACCACTCACACGGCTCAGAAACACACTTACACTTAAAAATTAAAGGGTAAAATACATTTTAATATTTAAAATAAATTAAATAATCATTTATAATTAAAATTCATTAAAATGTAAATAAAAAAATTAATTTCTTTATTTCCAATGATACAAAACAAATTTAAAAAAAAAAAACACTTCATTTTTTATGGTAATAAAAAAAAAATCTTGATTTGTTAGTTAGGTTATGGAAGTTTAGTTTCTCATATACAGGAGTCTATTTCACGGACACGGACACAATTAAAGAATTACGATATACGGACAATTTAAAAAAATGGTTAGGAACATCACACGCTTTAGGACATTAGTATTACTAAATTAAGTTAATACATTAATTATTTTCAAATAATAAATAATTAATTATAATAATTTAATATTTCAAATAAATAAATAATTAATTATAATAAATCATAAACATAAAATAAAAAAACACCAAATTTCTTATTTCAATGATACAAAAACAAATTTAAAGAAAAAACACTTTATTTTTATTGGTAATAAAAAAAACTTTGGTTGATTAGCTTGGCGTATAGAGTAGTCTCATATACTAAAAATTAGGTTGCATGAACACAAGACATGAGATACGGGAACGTAAGGATACAATAATTTTTAAAAAATAGGACATCCACACTCTTAGGACAGTACATTAAATAAGCAATACATTAATATTTCAAATAAATAAATAATTATTTATAATAAATCATAAATATAAAATAAAAAAACACTAAATTTAAAAAACACTAAAATTTATTAATTTCAATTGACACAAAAATAGATTTAATAAAAAAAAATATTTTATTTTTATTAGTAATAAAAAAAACTTGGTTTGATGCTCAGTTATAAAAGTAGTTTTAATAGAAGCTAGTTTTTACAAATAGGACACCGAAATCGAGAAACCATATTTAAATTACAGATATTTTTAAAAAATAGGACATCCACACGCTTAGATTAAATTAACACTAAAATAAAGTAATACATTAATATTTCCAAATAAATAAAACAATTTATTTCAAATAAATAAACAATCATTTATAATAAATTATAAATGTAAAATAAAAAAAAATAATTTCTTATTTCAATGATGCAAAAATAAAAACATTTCATTTTCTATTGGTAATAAAAAAAACATTGGTTGATTAGCTTGGTGTATAAAATAATCTCATATACCAGAAGTTAGGTTGCACGGAAACAGACACGAGATATAGAAACGTATGCGATACGACAATTTTTAAAGAAGGTAGGGCATCCACACGCTTAGGGCACAATATACTAAATAAATAATACATCAATATTTCAAATAAATAAATAATTATTTATAATTAAATAATTATTTATAATAAATCATAAACATAAAATAAAAAAATACTTAATTTCTTATTTCATTGACACAAAAATAAATTTTAAAAAAAAAACACTTCATTTTTATTGGTAATAAAAAAACCTTGGTTAATTAGCTTGGTGTATAGAGTAGTCTTATATGCCGGGAGCTAGGTTATACGAACACGGGACACGAGATATGGAAACGTACATATACAATAATTTTTTAAAAATAGGACATCCATATACTTAGGACACAGTACCCTAAATAAGTAATACATTAATATTTCAAATAAATAAATAATCATTTATAATAAATTATAAACATAAAATACAAAAAACTTAATTTTTTAGAAAATGCTGTTGAATACCTTATGTTCAAGGTTATATGAAGTGTTTCGAGGTATGCGTGAGGCGAGAAGGAAAGTATAGAATAATAAAAAAAAACAACACTATCCATGATTTTAACCTTGGTTGAGTTCCAGGTCAAAATACATCTGATACATATGAACACAACTAGTTAAGCTATATAGCTATAGTAACATATAATATGGAAGTGGTGTCAATACCAAGAGGTATGAAACCAATGAGAAAATGAAGGTGTAATATTTGTCACTGATAACAAGATAACTAGTGGAAAGAAGTACATAAACAAGAATGATTTAGAGAACGTACAAGGATATGTAATTTTAAAAAGTGGGGCTAGCCACACGCCAAACACACTACACAAATTAAGTAATACATTGAATTTTAGATAAATAACAATTATTTATTAATAAAATATTAAACATAAAAATAAAAAAAAATAAAAAAATACTTAATTTCTTAATTCAATATAATTACTTAAATTCTCAAACTTATTATCACTATTGAAAAATACATTAATATGTGTATACATTTTCTGATGTAGGTCATACCATGTATGGTTTTTGCTATTGCATACCTTATGAAAGGTTTCGTAGAATATTTGAGAAGACATATCATAGCATTGTAACTTTTAAGCAAATCTCAGTGAGATATAATTTATCATTTTATTATATAATTTTACTATTTTTGAATGATGTTATAAAAGATGATTTCATCTTTTAATATTGCTCTACGCATCGCATGGGTTGTAACACTAGTTACATTACTAAAGTTAACAACACAAAAATAGAAAAGCCACTAAAAATTACAAGTTTACAATAAAACAATAAATAAATACAAAAATAATTACAAAATAACTGAACTTAAAATCAAACAAATAAAAAATTTGTTATATGATAACTAAAATTAATATTAGAAAAATAGAAAAATGTGAAACAAAAAGTAGAAATATAATACTCAAAGTAGATTGCTTCATAGAGAATTAGAATGAGAAAGCTTTCTTAGCATGGCTTTACATTGATATATCTATACTGCTTAATGTAATTAAAGTTAATCATTAAAAAAAAAAATCTCAAACTTTGCAAGTAATTTTAATTGTACCGTATATCCAACTTTCTTCTTCTAATACCTTGAATTAACTTAAAGTTTAGTTACAATAGCACTCTAATTTTAAATTGTATCCAATTTAATAAATAAAATATTTCATCCATCTTATTTTGTTTGCTGGTTTGACAAAATACTCATATTAAGAATTTAGTCAAGAAAAATCAATTTTCTTTTTTTACCCTTAATTCATTAAGATATTAATAGAAGTTATTCATTTAATGAACAATCATAAATGTCATTATGAGAAAGACAATTGTTTACATATGTAAATTTAGAAACCTTTCAAACGTTTTCAGACATTCAAAAAAGTAATAACAAGCAATAAAATGGGACGGAAGGATATTATTTTCGTTTGACATATATGATCAGGTTAATTAAAAACTCACCGTTTAACAACATCCTAACTAATATTTATTATGAATTTTTTTAAAATTCATAAAAGCTAAGTGAAATAGTAAATTTTAGTTAGTTATAAGCATAGAATATTTAGGTTTTTGTTTTGTCATTTTTTAAGCATGAAATTTTAGTTAGGGTTTATTGATATTCTAATTAAGTTAGATTTCTTATAAAAATAAGTTTTATTTATTACAGCATGATTTTATTTTAAGGAAAATAATTATTGTCAATATTATATAAATAAATAATATATTTTATTTTTAAGATGAATATTTTTTTTATTTTAATGTTGAGTGCAATTTGAAATTAGAGTACTATCGTAACTAAAGTTGAAGTTCATGATAAGATTAAATTTAAAAATAATTAATACTTTTGATTTTCTTGTTTATTAGTGATAACAATAAATTTAAAAATAATTAATACTTCTTGATTTTCTCAAAATAAAAATAATTTTGGAGAAAACTTAAAAAAAACATGGATAAAAATAGATAGTGTCAAGTAAATTGTAATATCTATATATTTATTACAATATATATATCAATTGAAGCAAAAAATAACTTCAAGATAGCTTTCTACGTTCAACATTTCTATTTATCTTTTTTAACAGAATTTTAAATCAAGTAAATAATAATTTTGGAGAAAACTTAAAAAAAACATGGATAAAAATAGATAGTGTCAAGTAAATTGTAATATCTATATATTTATTACAATATATATATCAATTGAAGCAAAAAATAACTTCAAGATAGCTTTCTACGTTCAACATTTCTATTTATCTTTTTTAACAGAATTTTAAATTTTCTTTTACATTTTATTTTATTTATTACGTTTTGATTGGACCTTAATATTCCTAATGAACAGAAAAATAAGTATATAATTACGTAGTTTGAAATTTTTAAATTTTTTTCTCATCTGTCTCTATATCTATTTAATTTAATATGTTTAATCTATCTATATATAATCTCATCACATTAAGAAATACTAACACTTTGAAAAGTGGCGTCATCTACGGCGAGAACATCCTCTGCAATGGAACAATCTTCAGTTTTCACGCGCAATCATAATTTATTAGGTATTATTGTTCTATGATAGTATAAAAATCTCTCTTTCTTCATTGTGGGTACATAATAAATAATTGTTTTTTTTCACGCTTATTGCTTGTGAACTAAGAGTATCAAAATTGACATTGGTGACAATTCAATATGTCTAGATCTACTCTTCGCAGTTGGTAAAGCTCACCCATTTTCTTTCAGTTTTCAGATGCAATATGCAATTATCTATGATCTATGATCGCTCCTTTTTTTTTTTTTTTTTTTGGTTTTTTTTTTTTTTTTTTTTTTTGTTTGCGTTTTTCTTTTCATATTAAATAATTCTAGAAGGAATCCTGCACGCTTTCTATTTCCTATATTTTATTTTACATATTTATCTAGAAGGAATCCTGCGCTTTCTATTCCATATATTTATTTACATATTTATATTAAACTTGCACAATAATAACATGGCACCCTCTCCTAAAGCATTCTTTGTTTCCTTTTTTTTATAATTTTTTTTAAATTTTCAATAACTTTTTAATCATTTATTTTTTCTAAAGCAATTTAGATAATTATTCACAGATAATTATTATTTAAAAAAATTATTTCAATTGCACAAAATGTATCTCTTCGACTCTCTCTTTATTCTATATCTATATCGATACTTTCAAATATTACATTTGATATGGATTCTAAATAAGATTGATATATACTTAACCCTATTTTCTAGAAATAGGATAGTGTTGATTTTAAAATTTTATTTGTTTTGAGAAGGGTTTCTCTCGGGTTTCAGTGCAGAAACAAAATCAGTTGCATTTTACTTCTCTGGTTACTTTGTTTACAATGAAGTCTTTCTTTGCTAACAAATACACTGGGTTCTTTAACCATTCCATATATAGGTATTTAAAAATTAATGACTATTTCATTATTTTTTGGTGTTCCCTCAATATTTTTTTATGGAGTAAGAATGACATTCCTGAGGTGACGCTAGCAATTGACTCAGAATAGACATCTCAAGAAAAATGTATTGTTACGAATTGAAATCTTACACTTTCCAGTACTTTGACATCTGTCAAAGAAATCTGTATGTTTACGAATTGAAATCTTACCCACTTTCAGTACTAGTTGATATATTAATTGTTCTTATTTCTCCCTTGAATTCCTTTTGTTATATTTTTGTGCATATTAAGACATTATATTAAAATTTTTCCTACATTTTATATATATTTTTTGGAGAATATATATATTCTAAAACGCTTCAAGGATATTTAAAATTTAAAATTTTCTGATTTTTAGATACGAAGATTACTTTTTTACAATTGTTAAATGGAATATATTTGTATATATTTTATTTCTTTATTATTTTTAGCGTAATATTATATTTACAATTGAAACTTGCTATTTTTTAATCTTATCTATTTTTAAAAGGTTTATGTAATTAAAAATATTTCGTTTTTTTTAAAAGTATTTTATTTGAAATTAATTAGATGTATATAAAATTAATACTTACTTTCATTCTTCTTCTTTTTTTTGTTTTTTTTTTTAAAAAACTCATTTACTATATATCATCGACTTTTTCATATATCTATTAAAATTTCTTTTATTTTTCTATATTATAGTTGATAGATTATGTCTTAGAATAATTTAGTATAGCTTTTAATTCTTCTTTTTCATTATTTTAAAAAAAGATTATCTACTAAATTATTATAATCAATGATTCTAAGTGTCTTTATCCTATATCTTATGTCTATTACTTCAAATCTACATGTATTCATATATATTTTGAGTATCTAAGCTAAAAGCATACATAAAGTATTTAAATATAACTTACCGCTTAGTGTCATTTATTTATTCAACTTTTTTTTTTTTTAAAAAAAAAACAATGGTTAATAACACGATTATGCCTTCATCTCAATTTGAGCTCTACAAAAAATGACAATATTGTGCCGAATAATTAAATCTTTGGATAGTGATTTTGATGATGAGAAAGTATATGGAACTCTTTCAAAAAATTTGAAATTAATTTTAATAATTTTGGATTATGCTTTTTTTTTTTCTTGAGTTTTTTCAATTAGATGGTTTGCTTTTTTTTTTTTTTTCTTGAGTTTTCAATTTGATTTTATTATATTTAATTGTAAAAAAAATATATAATTTATGGTACAATATACCAAAGAATCAATTTAAAATGTAAATTGGATAAGGGGTTGAAATTTGCAAAAAGAAGTTATTCAAGAGATTAACAATTAAAAACATCGTTCGCAATGTGCTCAAACAAATGGTTATTGTTTCATATCTTCTACTGATAAATTTAATTTGTATAATACTTATAAGTGTGTATATTTTCATTGTGTGGTAAGACAGGTTGCTCAGCATCCATTTCAATATAATTAAACTTTGAATTATTCAAAAGACAGTGATTTATATTTTAAAAAATGTTACATGTACTATATAATTAATAAATCATAAATTATAACGTATATTAATAAATTAACCTGCTTGTATTGCGCGAATCTTTACTTAATAATTAATAATCATCGAATATCAGCTGATAGAACATTATTTTTTATTTTTTATTAACTTAATTAAAAATCTTAACTGTTAGCCAATATCAAGGTTCATAATAATTAAAAACAAAAAGAAAGAAAGAGGGAGGAGACATGGAAGGAGAGTAGCGCTTGCAAACAAGAATTGGAAAAAAGATATACCAACCATTGACTGACCCATTTTCTCTTCTCCCTTGCTCGCTTTCCCTTTGGATCTGAGTCTCTCTTTCAAATGGGAAACAATCCATTCTTATTTGCCCCTACAGATTCCTATTCTCAACCATCACCGTCATCTTTGTCATCACAGTCGCCGTTGCCATCACCATCGCCGTCATCTAATTCATGTTCTTCACGTCCATCTTCCGATTCTTTATTCTCAACCATCACCGTCATCTTTGTCATCACAGTCGCCGTTGCCATCACCATCGCCGTCATCTAATTCATGTTCTTCACGTCCATCTTCCGATTCTTATCCAAGTCTAAATTCTCCTTTTCAGCCTTCTCAACAAAGTCTTCCTCAACTGCCTTCCCATACTTCTTCAAGTCATTTTGATCCGCCTTCTGCGGCTTTTGTCGGACCTTGTGCAGCATGCAAAATCCTTCGCCGGCGATGTACTGATAAGTGTTCTTTAGCTTCTTATTTTCCTCCAACTACAGAACCAGATAAATTGAACATCATTCATAAAGTTTTCGGTCTTAGCAATACGTTCAAGATCTTGCAGGTATTTATGATTTAAATTACTCTTTAATTAGAAATAATTATATGTCAATTACATGTCGAATAAGTTATCCATCACAAATGTTTATTTATTTATTTAGAGATCCCTTATTTTCACGATCTCATTTATTAGGATCACAATTAAATTTATGAATAAATACTAAAGAGATTGAGATCCCTTATTTTCACGATCTCATTTATTAGGATCACAATTAAATTTATGAATAAATACTAAAGAGATTAAAATACCCTTAGCTAATTTCAGTATACTGCCTCTATTTGATAATAATTGTGATATTTGATAAAATAGTTTATTTTAAATATTTATCACATTTGTGGTTTGAAGCAGTAATAAATGCATTTTTTCATGATTACCTTTGTACATGACTAATAATTACTACTTCAATTTAATAGTTTTCTTTTAAGAATAAGAATTAAATTAAGGGTAATATAGTCAATTTACTCAATAATTTATTGTAACTTACACAAATTTAATGGTTTTCTTATGATTAAAATAATTGTTTCTAAGATTCCTCCCTTGGTTTCTTAAGATTCCCTCAACCATACACAGCAATATCATGCATTAATATACTCACCATATTATTTATTTTTTGGAATCATGCATTAATTCTCGATATATTTATTTTTGGAAAATGAATTAATATTGTTTTATTATTTTTCTTTTTAATTTTAGCTAAAGACAGGAGGAGACATTTGGTTGACTCAGGTTCAAATTTAATTAAATCGGAAAAATCAAACAGAACTGAAATGTTTATACAATCAAATCAAATTGAATCGGTTTGATTTTAATTTGGACTGAAATGTATTTAAAATGTGTTTATTAAACGGATAGGTTGCCTATAAATTAACCAGAGAGTTTGCTCAAAATCCATGGTAGCATATTTTTCAATTCGCGAAACCGAATTTGTTTAATATAGTGAGTTATGGATAAAAGTATCAAAAGACTTAAACTCATACTAAATTAACCAGAGAGTTTGCTCAAAATCCATGGTAGCATATTTTTCAATTCGCGAAACCGAATTTGTTTAATATAGTGAGTTATGGATAAAAGTATCAAAAGACTTAAACTCATACCTTACTCAAACTTATCGTATATCGTAATCTTAATATTCCGTGTCCTCTTAAATCTGTTTATAACAATTTAATTTGCAATAATTGTGTTGGAGTGGATTATGTAACATACTCACTCCGTTCTTTACTTAATTTTGTGAATATTTACATCACATTTAAATTTAATTAAATTTCAATATACTAATCATGTTTTATAATAATTGTTACATTTAGAATTGCACATCTCTTTAACAACTATTAAGTTTGTCTAAGTTATAATAAATTATTGAGTAAATTGACTATATTATCCCTAATTTAATACTAATTCTGTAAGAAAACTAGTAAATTGAAGTAATAATTATTGGTTACATACAAAGGGTAAACATGGAAAAAAAGATTTATTACTGTTTGAAACCACAGATGTAATAAATGTTTTGAAACAAACTATTTTTTCTAATGTGACAAGTATTATGGAACAAAAGTAGTAATAATTAGTTACTCTGCCAATTCACTTACTTTTTTTCCCTAAAAAATTTTGACAAATGCTTTTATAATATTGTTTAGAATTTCAAATATAATCATCAAATATGAATACTTCTAAGTTTTAACTCTGTTATTTCTTTTGGAATATTTTAGAATCTCCCCAAGTGTCAAAGAGTAGATGCTGTAAGTAGTATGATTTATGAAGCAAATGCAAGAATTAGAGACCCAGTTTATGGGTGTGCAGGTCAAATTTCCCTCCTTCAAAAACAAGTCGATGAACTTCAAGCTCAACTGGCCAAAGCACAGGCAGAGGTAGTGAACTTGCAATGCCAACAAGCCAATTTATTACCTCAAATGTCCATGGAAACGGCAGAATCCAATAATCGTCAAGAACCCATATCTTAACAACCATCACACAATCATGCAAGTACTCTCCACGACCCGTTGGAATCTCTTTGATCATGTTAATAAAAATGCCAAATTATTATTGTTGTTATACCTCAAAATTTTTGGATTTAAATAGAAGTACGTGAAGACCCGTGGATTTCGTTGTCACTTCACTGTTATATTATATTATATATTGTTGGACAAAATAGTTTTATCCAAAGTTTTTGATGATCAAACAATTATGTGCTTCTAATGATTTCAATTTAGCGTTCCTGATTAATAGATTACTTCTTAAGATCAGAAGGAATTGATTTATAAGATACAGTTGAAGAGAATCCATTTATGCCAACAAAAATTGTGGATGACAATAGGGTTTCTCAGCCAACAATAGAGTGGAATGACAAGGAAAATTTTATAAATGTATTAATAAAATATTATACATATTTTTTAATTTAAAATTTTCAACTGTTTGCCATCCGAAGTTTAATTATGTAAATTTTATTTGAAAATTTACTTTTTAAAAAATATATCGGATTAAATCTTATAAATATAAAGAAAATGATATTAATAAAACTAATATACTTTTTCCTTTTTTTTTATCTCTCTCCTAAAAAAATTATATATATTATATTTAAATTTATTTTTAAAAATATATCTAATCAAATTATATAAACATAAAAGTTAAAAAAAAAATTAATTAAAAGAATATATTTCTTTTTTTTATCTACTTCTCCTAAATAAAAATAATTTTTAAAATTAATAATCAAAATAGAATTTAAAAATATTAAGTAAAATAAAATATAAAATAATTTTTCAAATATCTTCATATAATTCATAATATAATTATAATCAAAATAGAATTAAATATTTAATAAATAAAATATAAAATAATTTTCAAATATCTTATTATCATATATAGTTATTAAAAAATAAATTTAGTAGAGATAAAATTTAAAATTTTGAAATGCTTAATATCTATAAGTATTTCTTTAAAAAATATATATTTTTTTAATTAGGAAGCTTGATTGGTGAAATAATACAGCGGGCTACACAATAAGGAATAACCTTCCACTTACTAAATTGGTGGAAACACTTATGGTCGAGATGATTCGAACTCGAGACCTCTTACTCCTTACATAAGTAAGAAGACAATTAGATCACATATCATTGGCTTAAAAAATAATTTTTATAAATATATCTAATCAATTAATAAAATGTAATTTCTAATTGGTTATGAGTAAGGTTATTTTATGATATCCTAAATTTCATCAAGGGCACTATTCGAAATCCCATTATTTCCTTACTCCCACATTTATATATAGTATAGATAAACAAATAATTGGATTAAAAATTCAAAGAGAATTTCATAAATATTAAATTATTTTGTGATTTTATTTTTGATAATAATTTGTAATTTCGTGTAAATGATAATTCATATTTTGTAAAGAATGACGGTTCTGAATCCCGTAAACAAAAGATCATATTTCTAATCTGCATCTACGAATTCTAATACCACGTTCCTTTTTTAAAAAAAAAAAAAAAAAATCTCGAGGCTAAAATATTGCTATGGCGTATGTCACAATTGTGATTTATAAATATCAAATTTCAAAATTAATGTGTCATAGTTTAATTGCATATCTAATTATTAGAAGATAATGTTTGAAGGAAATATTTATTTAATTAATCAAACGGTGGTTCGATTAGTTTTCTCACTTACATTAGGAGTGTAAAATCTTGAGTTCGAATCCTCTTAATAATAATTATTTTCACCAATTTGATAAGTCAAAAAGAGAGTTATACCCTGTTGATTTGTAGCCCTAGTAGTGTTATTTCGTCCCATAAAGACCTCCAATATATTAAAAAAAAGGAATAAAAATATTTTTTTGATTGGTTTGATATATAAGAGCATGTTGGAATTTGCTCAATCATGGGGTAACTATAATTAAAATAAATTAAGGTATCTTCATTGGAATTAAAATTAAGTGACATTTTCTTTTTTGAAAGGAATTCGGTGACATTTGACTGAGTCATTTATCACACTTTGGATTTAAATTAAATTAAAATATTCTAATTAAAATTAAACTAAGTCACGTTTGGAACTAAATCAAATTAAGATAACCTAATTGAAATTAAACTATATCACTTGATTGAAATCACATTTCACTTGATTAAACCCTAGTACTCATCATTAGCGGGTTCCGACATCTATTCGATCTTAAGCAGCCTACTTATTTGAATTTAAATAGTCCACCAATTGGAGTTTAAGTGGCTCGCCTAAAGCACAAAGCCAATTATGAAGCTTAATGCTTATCATTACTGAGTCCTGTCACTTATCCTTTGTGGATTCATAATATTTTATTGATAGGAATTAATAAATATGCCGAGAAATTAAATAGGTCGAGTATTCATCGAACCTGTAACGCTTGGTCAAAGAGTTTTTAACAGTCATTTAAATATGTAATGAATGTTCAAAATTTTCGCTCAAGATTTATGATCAGGATTCTTATTAGATATTTATATTTTTAATTACAATAACAGAAATACTATAAATATTTACATCACATCTAATTACAAGACACATTACATCCAATAGCAATTTCTGATTATTTATATATGATAGGTGTCATTTTTATAGTATTTTTTAATACAGTTTTTATTTGGAATTTAGTAATTTTTATCACTTTAACTAATTTTTACTTTGTTTTAATTATAATTTTGTTCAAAGCTTCCTTAATTCATAATCTACTTGATCTTAAAGAAATTTACAGGGTTTTGGCACAGAAAAGAGCATTATAAAGAAAAACACTCAGGCTCTAGCACGTCCAGCTCGTGCACATTAGCACGCCGTGCTAAACTTAAGAGAAATCAAGTGGAGACTCAGACTCTAGCACGCCTAGCCCGTGCTATCTGGCACGGCCGTGCCTAAAAGAACCTCAGGGCGTGCTTGCCTAAGTACGGCCGTGATGCATTTTATCTTGGAAAGTCAGAGCCTAGCACGCCCTGCCCGTCGGCCTTAAAAGAACTCAGGGCGTGCCTAAAAGAACCTCAGGGCGTGCTTGCCTAAGTACGGCCGTGATGCATTTTATCTTGGAAAGTCAGAGCCTAGCACGCCCTGCCCGTGTTATATCGCACGCTCGTGCCACAAATACTTCTCTGGGCGTGTTGCAGAGCACGGCTCGTGCTGAATCATTCATAGAACTCAGACTCTAGCACACCCAAGCCGTGCTATGGATTACGCCCGTGCTATGAATATAATGCTGTCTTAAATTATAAACGCAAGCCAGTCTCTACAACTTACATGGGCCCACCTCAGTTATTTTCCTAACATGCAAATCAAGATCTAAGCCTATTTAGGAAGATGGAAGAGTCATTGAGAAAAGAAATTTCCAAGCCTAAACAGTGTGATCTCCAAAGAAGATTTCGTACTTAATTAAGGATTCTTATTTCCTAAATGGAGCACAGATTTTCTCCCAGGAGGTCTATATTAAAGAGAGGAACCATTCATTGTAGAGCATCTCTGCGGTTCTATTATTTTTCTACATAGTTCTCTCTCTCAAAAGGACTTTCAAGGCATCTAAGTGTTTGTGCCAAATTCAAGGAAGCATCCACGTATCAGTTGTTTATAGTTTCTATTTCTAAAACTCTTAATCTTGTTTTATTTTTCATTATTCACATTTGATTATGAAGTTTGAGTTCAAGTATTATTGAGTTTTATTTAATTACTATGTCGAACTAAAATCCTCATTACTAGGGGATTTGACTGTAGGCTTAATTTCTTTCCAATTTATAATATTAGAATTTGTTTTTCTTTGTTCGAAAGTATAAATGAATTATTAGCACTTTAATGCTTCCAGGCAGAGTTCTCCCCTGGATTGATTTATTTCATTAATCACTATCGGTAAGAAGGGTTTTTATATTGAATAGTGGTATTAAATTACATGGAGAATAATAACTTGATGCTAGAAAGCTATATGGGTTTGACTCATGGCGGGTTTTCATAAGTTAATGAACCTTAGGTTATTGAACTCACAAAACAAACCACAAAAAACTTTAATGATTAATTCATGTCGTGATTGCTCTATTGGAGAAGATAGGTAATTAGATCGGTTAGAATAGCTAACAATTACATCGGGGAGAGATTGTTAGTGATTTTAGGGTTGTTTCCCCACTTGAACAATTGTGTCTGTGTGTGTGTATTTACCCTATTCCATATCAAAAAACCATTCTCCCGATTAGTGATTAATGAAATAAATCAATCTAGGGGAGAAAAACTCTGCCTGGAAGCATTAAGTGCCAATAAGTTTTAAATATATACTTTGAGGCAAAGATTAAAAATGCCTGGAAGCATTAAGTGCAATAATAAATTATACTTTGAGCAAAGATTAAAAAACTAATAAAATAAATTGGATAGAGTTAGGTGAAATCAAAATCCCTAGTAGTTTTAAAATCCTTGATTTCTTTTCATCTGAATATTGTTGCTTGATTTATTTCGATTTTATTTTTAGAATTTACTTTTCTTACAACAAATCTCTCTTATTACCGTTTAAATAATAATAGGTTAATACAATTTTGGTACTTGATATACAATCCTTGAGGAGATGATACTCTACTTACTTTATATTACTTGCTACGATTTCGTATACTTGCGAAAAATCACTGTCAAGTTTTTGATACCGTTGTCGGGGATTGGCATTATCAATATCAATACTAATTACCCTATTATTAATTTAGACATTTGCTTTTCTGTTTTATTTAATTTCCTTTTAAAAATTATTTCAGGTGTTCATGCAAAGAAGATCAGGTAGGACTGAACCCCTAATCTTTGATCCAGAAATTTAAAGAACTTGTCGCAGGAACAATGCCACTAGAAGATCACGTGAAAGTAAACCCGAACAACAAGCAGACATGGGCGATGAAGTCAACCCAGAAAATAGACCTCCACCTCAACATCCGGTCCGGACCTTGTGGGACTACACAACACTTACTCTTCATGGGACAACCTCGAGTATCACAAGACCTCGGATGGAAGCTAATAATTTTGAAATTAAACCTCCAATTACCCAAATGCTTTCCACCTCAATTCAATAAGGAGGTTTACCTAGTGAAGATCCTAACGTTCATATCACAAATTTCCTGGAAATTTGCGATACTTTCAAACAGAATGGTGTTTTCGAAGATGCCATAAAACTGAGACTCTTCCTTTTCACTCTTAGGGACAAAGCACGATCTTGGTTACAATCATGTCCTGCTGGAAGTTTTACAACATGGGAGGAATTAGCCCAAAAGTTTTTAGCAAAATTCAATTCTTCCCATCTTCAAAGACCCACAGAAACTGCCGCAATGATTTATAATGACATTTGTCCACCATTGATCAAGAAAGTTTGTACGAAGCTTGGAGAAAGTTCAGGAACTTATGAGAAATTCAAGGACTTATTGAGAAAGTGCCCACATCACAGTTTGCCTAAATGGTTACAGGTACAAACTTTCTATAATGCATTATCTCCTAACATTAAAATCACCTTAGATGCAGCTGCAGGTGGGTCTTTTGAGAGAAAAGAGATTGATGTAGCATATGCTTGATAGAAGAGATTGCAAGCAATAGCCATTATCAAAGCAACTCCGAAAGGAAGAAGACTGCAGGAGTCTCTGAAATAGATGCCATTACAACACTCAATGCCAAGGTAGATAATATGGTAAGAAAATTGGACTTATTTACTACTAATCCTGTCAATTCTATTATGCAAGTTTGTGGCAGGTGTAATGGGCAACATGGGATTGGAGAATGCATGATAGACTCTTTGAATCTGCAAACCTTGGAACAAGTAAACTATGTGATGAATCAAAGAAGAAAGAATTACCCATACTCCAACTCCTATGATAACAGGTTGAGGAATCACCCTAATCTGTCATATGGGAATCCTAACAATGCTTTGAACGCACCACTAGGTTTTATTCCTCAAGAAAAGAAATCTCATGATGATGTCCTTACTGCCCTTTCTAAATCGCACATGGACTTCATGAATGAAACTAGAGAAAACAACAAAATCCAGCAAGTTGTGATAAGAAATTTGGAGATTCAGCTAGTATAATTCGCAAACATGATGGCATCCCGACCTCAAGATAAGTTACCTAGTAATACTGAAAAGAATCCTAAAGAACAGGTACAGGCTATCACCTTGAGCAGTGGCAAACAGTTAGAAGAACCACCAAAGATAGAAAAGAAAAAGGAAGAGTAGAAAAAAGTTCCCATCATTGACCTAGAAGAGCAAGAAGTGAAACCTTATGTTCTACCTGTTCCCTTCCCACAAAGGTTAAAGAAAGCACAAGATGACAAAAGCTTCCTCAAATATCTTGATGTCTTCAAAAAGCTTCAAATTAACATTCCTTTTACTGAAGCTCTAGCTCAAATGCCCAGTTATGCGAAATTTCTAAAAGAAATCCTGAGCAAGCCCAGTTATGCGAAATTTCTAAAAGAAATCCTGAGCAAGAAATAAAAAATTGATGATCAAGGAACGGTAACATTAACTGAGGAGTGTAGTGCAATTATTCAAAATACATTGCCTCCAAAGTTAAAAGATCTAGGAAGTTTTTCTATCCCTTGTAATATCGGTAATCTTGATTTTGAAAAAACTTTAGCAGATTTAGGTGCTAGCATTAACCTTATGTCTTATGAAGTTTTTAAGATGCTAGGAATGGGAGAGTTAAAGCCAACAAGGATATCTCTACAATTAGCAGATCGATCAATCAAGTATCCAAGAGGAATTGTAGAAGATGTGCTTGTAAAGGTAGGTACATTTATCTTCCATGTTGATTTTGTTATTCTTGATATTGATGAAGATAGGGAAGGATCTCTTTAATCGTGGGGAAGACCCCTTTTCTTGTGAACTGCAAGAGCATTGATTGATTGTATATGAAGGCAAATTAACTTTAAGGGCTGGACACAGGAGGAAATTATTTGTGATGTTCTTAATAATCTTGTAAACTTCCGATGACTATAATGATTGCGTGTTTCGAATTGATGGTTGTTTAATGAATTGTGGTGGGGGGGGGGGGGTGTGGAAAAACACTTTTGCCGTAGTGGAGAGAGATGACATTAATGTTTCAAGCATCATGAATGAGAAAGAGAGTGAACCACCAAAGCAAAACTCTGAAACAACTTCCATGTCATTTAAACATGCATTCTGAGGTGAGAATCATTCTTTTCCTGTTATTGACTGTTATTATTTCTTCTCACTTAACACTTAATCAAAAGGAAAGGTTGTTGCATGTTCTTCGAAAACTTAAGAAAGCACTAGGGTGGTCGATTTCAGACTTACAGGGAATCAATCCAAGTGTATGCATACATAAGATCCTGATGGAGGAAGATTATAAACCTTCAATCGAGCATCAAAGACGATTGAACCCAAATATGAAGGAGGTAGTAAAGGATGAAATCATAAAACTTTTGGAGGCTGACATTATTTGTCCAATTTCCGATAGCAGTTGGGTAAGTCCTGTTAATGTCGTTACAAAGAAGGGAGGTATGACAGTTATCTCTAACGAAAATAATGAGTTAATTCCCACTCGAACAGTCACGGGTTGGCGTGTGTGCATTGATTATAGGAAGTTGAACAAAGCAACACGCAAAGACCACTTCCCTTTACCCTTTATTGATCAAATGTACCCTTATTGATCAAATCTTGAAAGACTTGCAGGTTGTACCCTATTATTGTTTGTTGGATGGTTATTCATGATACAATATGCTCTGGAAGATCAAGAAGAAAACCACTTTCACTTGCCCTTTATGCACTTTTGCCTATAGGAGGTAATCCGGTTTGGATTATCGCAATGCTCCCTGCAAACTTTTCAAAAGATGCATTGATGCTCCATATTTTCTGACATGGTAGAAAAATTTATTTGAAAAATTATTCATAGGATGATGTGGATTTTTTCTTTTGTGTCTGGTTCCTCTTTTGATGCATGTCTTTATTAACCATCTTTAAGTGAAAGGCCAAAAGATGCCCGAGGACACTAACCTTTGTGTTGTATATGGGAAAAGTTGAATTGGGAAAAATGTCATTTTATGGTTAGTGAAGGTATTGTTCTAGGGCATAAAATCTCACAAAAAGGAATTGAAGTGGACAAAGCCAAAATCATGGTGATTGAAAAGCTACCTCCTCCAAATTCATTGAGAGGAATAAGGAGCTTCCTTGGCCATGCTGGATTCTACAGGAGATTTATAAAAGACTTCTTCAAAATCGCAAAACCTCTTTGTAATTTATTAGTTAAAGATGTTCCTTTTAATTTTGAAAAAGAGTGTTTGAATGCTTTTAACAGGTTGAAGAAAGAGTTGATCTTAGCCCCTATCATTGCTACACCAGATTGGACTAGCCCCTATCATTGCTACACCAGATTGGACTCTCCCCTTTGAGCTTATGTGTGATCATGGTGTTCATGCTGTTGGAGCTGTTCTTGGGAAAAGAAAGGAAAAGAAGTTGCACATCATTTACTACGCTCGTCGCACATTGAATGATGCACAATTAAATTATGCCACCATTGAAAAAGAACTGCTGGCTATTGTTTTTGCTTTTGATAAATTTAGGGCTTATTTAATTGGAGCCAGAATAATAGTTTACACTGATCACTCTGCTATTAAGTATTTGTTAGAAAAGAAAGATGCAAAGCCGAGATTAATCCATTGGGTTCTTTTATTGCAGGAATTTGATCTAGAAATTCGCGATAAGAAAGGAACTGAAAACCTCGTAGCTGACCACTTATCCAGGCTAGAATTGGGAGAAGAAGATGCAACAAAATTACAAATCAATGAAGACTTTCCCCATGAACATCTTCTCCTGTTGGCAAACACACAAGCTCCATGGTATGCCGATATAATGGTATGCCGATATAGTTAACTTACCTGTTTGCAAAATCACTTCCTCCCAATCTCTTGTCAACTAAAGAAAAAGAGTTCTTCCTGAGTATCAAATAACTACTACTGGAGGAAGCCCTTTTTGCTCAAATTATGTATCAGCTATCTTTTGTTCAAATATTATAGTGATCAGCTATTTCGACGATGTATACTAGAAGAGGAAGTAGAAAGTGTCCTTAGATTCTGTCATTTAATGGAATGTGGGGTACACTTTGGAGCAAGCAAGACAGCAGCACGTATCTTGGAAAGCGGTTTGTATTGACCTAAGTTTTTTAAAGATGCTTTTAACTTTGTTCGTCTTTGTGATAGCTGTCAAAGGTTAGGTAATATCTCGAAGCGACATGAGATGCCCTTGAACAGCATCCTTGAAGTAGAGAACTTCGATGTTTGGGGTTTAGACTTCATGGGACCTTTTCCATCATCTTACTCCAACCAATACATTCTAGTGGCAATGGACTATGTCTCAAAATGGGCAGAAGCTGTTTCCCGTCCAAATAATGATGCCAAAAGTGTACTGAACTTTATCAAGAAATATATTTTCACACGTCATGGCACCCCTAAGGCGATAATAACAGACGGAGGTAAGCATTTTTGCAACAAATACTTAGATTCCCTTATTTCAAAATATGGTGTTACTCATCGTGTAGGTACTCCATATCATCCTCAAACAAGCGGACAAGTAGAAGTCACCAATAGGGAAATCAAGAAGATTCCAATATTAGGGAAATTTCAAGAAGCATTCTGGAGACCACTCGTGTGGACAATCTAGGAAGGACTGAATCAAGAAGATTCTGGAGACCACTGTTGGACAATCTAGGAAGGACTGGTCCAAGAAACTCGATGATGCTCTATGGATTTACAGAACCGCATTCAAAACACTAATCGGTATCTCTCTGTATCGTATGGTCTATGGTAAGGCTTGTCACCTTCCTGTTGAGTTGGAACACAAAGCATAATGGG